GGGAACGGTTGTTAGAAGCAATATAAATAGAAGTAATCCAGATTAGGAAAGACACAAAAAGGAAATTAGGAAATAATTGTATTTTGGAGAGACAGACTCTTGAAAACCTGTATTATAAAAATATTTCAAAATTATCTTTATAGATTCTATTCATTTTTTTCAATCTTTTCTAGTTATTTTCTGTTCTTATCAGTTTCAGTAGTGGCAGTTCAAATCCTTATATGTAAATTCCACAAAAATTATTGTTTTGTTGCAGTTTTTAACCATTAATATTTTACTGTTGTTAGCTATGTTAATTATGAATTGACAATCATACATCTTAAATAATGTTTAAAACTTACAAGATTAAACTGAACTTTTTAAAAGATAAAAGAATGTTCTTTAAAGAAAAAGATAAAAGATTAAACAAAAAATAAAAAATAAGATTAAGGACTCCAGACGAAGTTAGCCTTAATTTTAGTATAGCCCTCTAAATGAGAAAATTCATTTTTTCATGAAGATGTGAGATTAGGGCACGAAATAAACTTTTGTACCTTTGTTCTTAGAAGTGCCAAAATTTCATTATTTGCTTCATCAAATTGCTCTCTTTCTTCTTTTGCATTGTGAAGGCGTATACGTGCAGATGTTAACAGGTTGTTCACCTGCAATAACATTTTAGGCTTATGTAAGGCCAGCAAAGGATGACACAAACAGATCCATGAAGATGATTGACTACTGAAGGTAGGAGGGCATTGATGGCTGATCAATGCAATCATGCATACACATACACAGTAAACTTGATATGGTGGTTATCATTTAATGCCACAAAATAAAATAAAGTAATTCCTGAGTTCCATTAAATGTTCTTGTGCACCATAAGTCAAGTACTCAAAGGGAGTCTGAAGAAAGAAAGACCTTTCTCAGTTTGTCTTCAAGGTCGTCTTTTTGCTTCTCAAGTTCTTCAATCTCCCCAGCTAATTCCTGCAAAATGCCCATTGTATACATATTCAAAAATAAGTATGCTTAAGGAGTAAATGAATTCTTTCAAATAAACTATTTATTTGTTTGGAGACATCATCATTCAAGCATACAACTAAAAATTGTCCAAAAATGGAAAAATTGTTCATTAATTGAACAACTAACTAAATATGTCTTAGTTTTGTTAGGAAGTGTGTTTTCCGTTTCACTCCTTTATTGGGAACTTTTTTTTTTCTCTCATGTTGTGTTCTCTCTTCCATGGGTCCATGACTTCTTCTAGTGATATTAGGTTTGATTATTTTAGTCATAATGTCAAAGTCTACTCTCCATTGGCAAGTTACATGAAAGTAACTATGACATTTGGGTCTCTACTATTGAGCTTGATAGGTCTTTTGAAGGGGAGATTCACCGAGAAGAGATAACACCAATAAGACATGAGTCCAACTCACATAAGAGATCAACATCACTTTTGACCAAAAACCTTAAGGCATTAGGTTATGAGTTTTTCTTTATTATATGTTGCTCTACTTTCTTATTCTTACTCAATATGGGTGACTTAGAATCACACTTGGATTTCCCAACAATCTCCCCCTCAAATGAGTCCCTTAACATTAGTACATCATTCTTGAGCCCACTAGTGGCCCTTTACATGTATTACTGCTTGTTATAACGGGACATGCTTTCCTAACTCATCGTGAGGAAAATTTCGATTCAAGAATCACTCTTAAATGACTGGTTACATAGAATCACACTTGGATTTCCCAACAATCTCCCCCTCAAATGAGTCCCTTAACATTGGTACATCCTTCTTGAGCCCACTAGTGGCCCTTGGTGGTGATAATTCCCAAGCCTCTTATGTCAAACTTCTGCGATGTTTTCCTTGATTGGAAAAGTAGCTTGCTCCTCCTCTAATAGATTTAGAGCAAAACTTTTCCCTTTCATTTTTACTTTAAAAATATTCTGACTAGTTGCATCTCTAATCAAGCAAAAATTGCCTTCAAAAGTAACTTAGAAACCTCTTTCAATCAATTGGCCAACACTCAACAAATTTTGTTGAATTTCGGGTACAAAAAGGACATCAGAAATGAACTTTGTACCTCAGAAGCGTGTTATTGCAACAGTCCCCTTCCTTTGATTGAAATATAATCATCATTCCCTATCCGAACTTTGGTGATATTGGTTGGCTTTAAATCTTTGAAAAACTCTTTGCCATTAGTCATTTGATTTGTGCAACTATTGTCAATCAACCAACTCTCACTCTCTTTGCTACTTGCAAAATATGTGGCCACAAATAGTTGATCCTCCTCCTCCTGTTCAACAATCTTAGCTTCTTCCTCTCTTGCTGCTTATTTTAGCTCATGCATATAACTGCTTCATGTCCCATTTGATTGCACTTGATGCGTTTAGAATCAGGTCTCTTCCAACATCTGAATGGAGGATGACCCATTTTGCCACAATGTTGCCACAATGTTGACAAGGTGGGTAACGTTTCTTTTCACCCTTTTATTTATTCACACTAAATGATTCTAGTAGTTTTTTGCTTGTTGGCTCTTGACTAGAAAAGCACCTTCAACGTCATGATCTTCCTTCATTAATCTTCACTGCTCTTGGTTTGAAAGGCATGTATGACTTTTACAAAAGTGATTTTAGACAAATCATTTGTGTTCTCCAATGAAACAATAGATGTTTCATACCTCTTTGGCCTCATTGCCAGAATTTTATCAATAATTCTGGAATCTGTAAAATCACTGCCTAGCAACTTTATCTTGTTGACAATAGCTAACAATTTGTCTGAGTATTCCTTGATTGTGTCAGAATGTTTCATCATTTGAAGCTCAAATTCCCTCATTAAATTAAATACCTGCATGCTTCGAATTCTTTCATCTCAACATATTTTGTTTTTAGATAATCCCAAATTGCTTTTGCGGATTTGAGAGTCATGATCCTAGTAAAGATGGTTGTAGAGACACCAACAAAAAGCCTTCTCCTTTCAAGTTTTTCTCTCTTTATGATTCTTGATTTGGGTCATGGTGGGATTGTTTGGTAGCGGAAGGACTTCATAATTCTCTTCTATAGCTTCTCAAAGATCCAAAGCCTCTAGGTAAGCCTCCATTTTGACAGCCCAAAGATCATAGTTTTCCCCATTAAAAACTGAAAGAGCTGCTTGGGAAAAACTTGTTTCAGAATCCATTCTAAAGGTCATGTAAGAAAAGGACTCTGATACTACTTGTTGGAATTTTTAAGAAATGAAAAGTAGAATGTGCTTAACAGAGAGATAGGACGTAGATATATTAAAGGATAAAGACAATATTTATTCATTTTTTAAAACATAAAAATTACAATTTATAAACTGAAAAAATAACTACCCACTAACAACATGATTCTAGGAATAAGCCATAAAAATAAGGATACAAAGCACTTAAAACTGACTCCTTAAAACTAGGAAAGCAACAACAAATAAAAATAATAAATTCAGATCATGGACATGATTCAGTCCTAAAAATTTAAGACCATTGGTCACTTACGTGTATGTGAAAAAGAGGGAATCCCACTTCATAACTTTTTCTTCTTGGGCTTGAACCAAATGAAAGATGACCAAAAACTTGGTGACCTAAAATGTGACTTGGAATGCTAATTCAATGTTTTCCTGGTCTTCAACATCGATCCCACCAATCCTGCTCTATTTCGCTAATGTGTGGACACTTCAACGAATGTAAGGTTCAAAATTTTGACATCGCGTTATTCCATGATTTTTCCCGCAATTTTAACTATAGTTGAGTCCAACCTTATTCCATTGCTACCATCGGAGCTTGTAATTATTCTATTGGTATTTACTTTGGATATATATATATATATATATATATATATATATATATATATATATATATATTAAACACACCTAAAGTGTAATAATGACACATTAACATAGTTTTAACTATCCACTTCCACCTTAATGTGATAAATTTTGAATGGAACATTGAAAGAACTACAACACACAAGATAGCAATTGTAATTTGAGAACCCAAGACCTTATAAACCCAGCACAAGAACTTCATACCAATTTAGGACTTAAGTTGAAAATTCCTTATAGTTGGACCCTTAACATCTCATTATGCTTCAAAGCCCCATCACCTAAGTGAGCTATATTTGATAAGTTTCCGGTGAACACTACAATGTTGGCATCATCAATTGCTTTAGCTCGTTTACATATGGAGACATGGTGGATGACTTTGATATTAATTGATAAGAGAGCCTTGAGAGAACCATACCTCAAAAAGTTAGCGTTTGTAGTGTGATTCTATCAAGGCTTTTATCAAGCTCTTACTCTTCCTTTCAACTTTAAATCTAAAGCATTACATATTTGTAAGATCACATACATAGAGAAGAAACTAAAGATGTGAGAATTAACACCCTAACCTTCCCCATCCCTCCCAAAAAAAAAGATTTCCTTTGCAGTATGTTGGTTATAAAACCATAATGGAAGAGGAGTGCATGTCACTAGTCCGTATAAGATTTACAATGACACCTACGTATAACCTCTGAATGAATGAATACCAACATAAATTGAATTCAAGAATATTTTCTTCATCAACATTGTTCAATATTAAGATTGAATTCAAGATTTATCTGGTACTGTTGTTAAAACTTAACAGTTAACCAACTCCCATTGCCAAAAGAAGGAATCTATTATAACCATTCAATACTATTTAGATGAGTTGATAAGTTCTAATAGTGAGAATTTTCATATGGTTTTAACTAAGTTTATTTAGGTAAACTTCTCCATAAACACTTCTTGGAGAGAAAAATAAAAAGGAAAATTAATGATCTTTCCTATAAGTTAAAATTAGTTTATATATACACTAATTGTAGAAATTATCTCATATTAGTTTCTTTAAAAGACGAATTTAACGCATGCATAAGCTAATTTTAGCTTACGATGAAGCTTATTTCATTTTTTCTTCTTATTTGCTTCTCCTAAAAGCTTTATGAAGACGTTTGGCCAAACAAATTCTACATCTACAATAAAATAAAACTATGGCTTGCTATTGAGGAGAATGTACCTTCTCAATTAGGCTAACCTCGTCATATTTAATTGCCCGAAAATGAATTGCTTCTTCTTTTTGAGATCTGGTTGAGAACAAAGTACCAAACAAAATTTAAGAGAAATAAAATAAACTAAGGTCACAAAAGCCATATGCATGAAAAAGAGTTGAAACTAATTTCAGATTTCAGTACCTCCGCGTGATACTTAACAAAGGTACAAGTGTGCATGCAAGTACAAAACATACAAGAAAGAAACCAATTTTTTTATCATAAACTCAAACAAACTATTTTTGGGACCTGTTTTCGAAGATGCGAGTCTCAGCTTTTGTGGTAGAATTTGCAAGAGACTCTGCTAAAACTTTCAATTTGTCAACCTGCAAGTGATTCAAGCATACATCAACAAAAAAAAGTGTAACACCAAATGCATGCAACTGAGCATCACTTTTGTGGTGATGGAAAGAATGTGCTTACTTGTAGTATTTGTTGAGTATTAATAATAAACAATACAATACATAATGCAGAAAACTTCTACTATGGCCCATATTAAGAAATTCATAATAAAATTTATCTATAAGGGAAGAAGGTGAGTATAATGCTAATGCACTCAATTATAACCAAGATATAATTACATGCCACTTTGGCAAAAGAGTAGGGAGTAACTCATGTGAATTTGTTGAATTATTATAGAATTAAGGAAATTATTGTGGGAGAGAATGAGCACTCCCAAAGTACTTACTGGGTGTTATTTATTTCATTTCCATATTGTATGGACTAAATAAGGATACATTCTCTACTTGTTGATATGAGCCATTGAGACTCAATAATATAAAAATCATCATAAACACTTTAACAATTAGCAGAATAATTTATAGCAATGTCCAAGATGATTTATCTGAAGGAAAAAATTATGATTTCTGAGTTATAAAAATATAAAGTTTGTATACATTTTTTAATATCTCAAAGTTCATACAAACAAAATATGAAGATCAAGTCACAACAGTTTCATAACAAGCAGCATTGAAAAAACACACACACAAATGCTAAAGTTCTTGGGGTAATTCAAATAGGAGTCTCATTAGCTATATTTCTAAGGATCATGGGGCAAAAACAAAAAAGGGGGCATTCGATACTCTTCAACAAGAGGTGGCCAATTTGGAAAATGCAAAGGAAGAGGAAGAGACTATTATGCTGGAAGAGAAAATAATGAGTGATCAAACAAATGATATGGAATCTATAAAAAGAATGATCATGAAAAAAATTATTGGAATAAAAGCAAAACCACTATAGTATAATTGCAAAAAGTTTGGGAATGTTAAAAAAGATTGTCACTTTACCAATCAACAACACAATTCACTTGCTGAAGTAGAAAATGATGAAGGAAACTAGTTTATTTGCTTGTTAAGAGACAAATCAAGAGCAAAAAAATGTGTTGATACAACAGTCTACTTGTTGAATAAATGTCCAACAACAGCCGTTTGAAATATACACCATTTGAAGTATGAAGTGAAAGAAAACCTTCAGTAAACCATCTCAAGTTTTTTTGATGTGTTTATTATACTTAATCTCCTAAACAAAAGAGAACAAAGCTTGAAGAATCAAATGTAAGATACGCTTTAACTTATGGAATAAAATATAACAACAAAATTGAAGTAATTGGCTTTTGTGATAGTGATTGGACATGATGTATGAATGATATGAAAAGTACATATGACTATGCCTTTTCACTTTGCTTAGGTATAGTTTCATGATGTGCAAATAAACTCTAGATATATTTCAGCTAACTTAACTACCCAACATAAACTCTAGAATACCATCGATAGTTTCCTAATACCTATAATATTATGATCTTACAATTCTCAGCTTATGGAAAAGAATTGATAAAGTTAAGATTATGTATTCTGAGCATTCCTAAATTAAAGTAATAGGTCTTAGACAAGCCTGACACAGAAGAATTGACATGTGTACATATGTTAACAAATAACCTCAACCATAAATAAGACTGGATGTGGAAATTAAAAAGCAATGCATTAATGCAATGTGCCTCTGGTGAGTTCTTTTTTTTTTTTCAGTCTTTAGGTATCTCACAGACTTCGGTGTTAGATTAATCCCAAGTGGTTAGGTTAAGCATGATTTCAAGATTAAGACTGCTAACATGTAGAAGTTTGATTAGGGTCAAAACTCTTTATTACTGCAACCAACTGCTATTGGACCTCAAAACCCCTTGTTTAATGAATAAATGAACAGTTTTGCATAATACAATATCAATTTTGAATGTTTTATACATTCTTTTCAATGAAGCTCGAAGAAACGATAACTAGGAGAGATATGATGCACCAGGAGTAAAAGAGATGAACTAAACAAAAACTACAGAAAATCACTGTGCAAGACCTTTTCAGCATGAAGTTGTGGAGAATCACCATAGCTAAAGTCTTTCTTTTTCAGTAAGAGCTCCTCCAACTTAGAGCACATTTGAATAATTTTTACCATAGCTTCATCAAAAGCCTGAAATCAAACTAAAATGTTCAATTGCCACTAATGTACAAATACACAAAGAAATGCACAATCTTGAATCTATTAGAAGTTGCATAAAATATCCTCATAAACAGTATATTAAGGTCATGCATAGTTCAAACTAAAGGGACTGAAAGGGAAATTAAGGGTAAAAAAACATCCATGCTATTAAACAGCAACTAGAAATCATTGAACCTATTGAACTAGTTTTGTTTATATAGCCATTTACCCCTTAACTATGCCATAGCATCACATAACATAAGCAAACATGTAGAATGAGCTTGTAAAAAGGAGCACTATAGACATTGTTATTCTGTTAAATACTTTAATTCCATTCTATAGAATAGCACTTGCAGTTTTTAGCATTCCTCGATAGCTCAACATTTCAATCAATACTCAACATCAAATAAAATAATATATCTTTTCTCACTTCTAATTTTCTTTTCAAAGAAAAATAAAGTCCACCAGAAATTGATTAGGGATTTAGTAATATTCTAACAACTATTTGAGTACTTGCATGTGAAAAATGCTTCTCTCTAATATATTAGAAACTTATTATAACAAGGTATTTTTCAGTAAATAAAAGGATGCATGGAACCTGCACATTAAAATCAAAGTTGAACAAGACCATCCTGTTAGATGTGCATTTGGACACACACAGACTAATACTTTTTTATTTGAAGGTTAAACAGACATGTACTCACTGCCTTCCTAAAGTAAGAACTTAGCGCAATGTTTGAATACACATTCCACTGATAGTAACAAGAGGACAAGCAAAGAAGTTAACATGTTAATGAGATGGTGAAAAATTAAGTGGAAAGCTAGATTCACATTGAGATACAAACCACAAATATCAGAAATAGAAACTTTTATCCTAGTTATTAAGAAAAAAAAAAAAACATTTAAGATAATCTTTGGTGAAACCAAAATATTATTAATTTAATAGGAAATCTTTGAAGTTTATGATAACTCAACCTAGAAACATGATAATATAAAATATCTTCATGTACCTACATCACAAGATCGCACCATATACATGACAACAATAAGAGTGTGTGCAAGTGCAGCTGCATCATTGTACCCCAGAGGTGTATAAGAAATTCAAGCTCACCTCTTTTGCTACATCAGTTGTCTCTTTAGGTGAATTAACAAAATTTTCATCTTGGTTGACTGTCTTCATATTCTCAATATTTTCCTTCAGATTGCATGCTTCGACTTCTATTCTGAGAAAGGAGAATGTATCACATATAAGAGCAGAAAAGATTAATAATACTTTAGTCGTAAATATGGTGCTAAGCATTACAGATGAAGAAAATTATGCAGCTTCTATGGAGCAGGGGAAATCTTTCAAAAAACACAGCATTGGTTGAAAGTTTCAGAATCTAATCATTTATTCTTGATTTTAGAATTCCTGTGAATGCTTGATTAAATATTAAACACCAAAATATATTCAAGGAGCATTGGTTATTGTTTATGACCCAGTAAGCACATAAAGGCAAACAAATAATAATTATGTAAATAAAAGAAGCCTTAAATGTGTTATTTCTGCCTAAGTAAACAGTGTTGTGTCTCGGACAAGTTGATAAGTATTTAAATCACAGTAAACTCTATTATTAGTATATTAAAAATAATAAGTGATGTTCCAATTGATCACATGAATAAAACAAATATTTATACAAAAATGCTTTCAATGATCCGACATGCAAAGGTTATCAATGGTTGTAAGTATTGGTATGCCCTAACCCATTCATGAGCAAAATTCACATAATACATCGACTAACACATACAACAAAACCTAAAGGTCAAACAAGCATCAAGAAAGATATGCTCAGCAACAACCTCACAAGATCAGCATTTACTTTCAGCCCTGAAATTGCACTTTGTACATATTGAAGCAACTCTTCTCGCTTTGCCTGTTAAAAAAAAAAAAAAGAAAAAAAAAGAAGGTAGACAAACAAAGGTATGTAGGTACCAAATAAGTGGATATAAATCCAGTAGAATTCTTCTAATGTGTTAAAGTTCAATACTTTTACAAAGTCAGAGGTTATGGCTAGAACACAGAATGCAAGCAATGAAGATAAATTGGAAGGCAACTTCAGGCTACAAAATTAACAATATCTATGCCTTTATTATTAAATGTTAGGCCACGTTTATTAATAAATAGATATACGAATCTTGAAAAGGAAAGAAAGTGCAACATTCTATCGAAAGTCTTGTGTCTTAGAATAGTTGACATGTGGCAACAAATCAATTACAATCATGAAGTGGCAGGACATAAATCAGGGCATGTAGCTAGAATATGTGAAAATGTCATATTGTAGGCTATCTTCTTAGATTACTTTCCCTATTTCCTCATTATCGCTTAGGATTAGTGACCACATTTCCTTATCTTATCATGTTTGATTTCACTAATTAGCTAGGATTATAATTAGTATACATCTATTAATACCAATAGTGTTTATTCCCTTCTCACTCTTCCTCCATCTGTACCTAAAACTCCATAATTCCAATACATCTCAATAATTCTGGGCTTCACATTAATTAGTAGATATCATGATCAAGATATAACCAAACAAAGCTTTTCTAGTCACATTTGATATGATGCATCAATGATAATGAGTGATCATCCTTCAAAAGTCGCAACATTAAATTTGTAGGTATGTATCAACCATAAACAAATGAATCTACAAGAAAATGACAATTCTTACCAGAACTTCGTCTTCGTAACCAGAAAATGCTTTCGCCAAATCCTGTACACTAGATAACAATGCATTATGTTCTTCCTTTCCTCCTTTAATACAGAGCCTGTACAGTATAACCATACCAAAAACAGAAGCAGTTTTTTAAGCAGGTCATTTATACTATGCCAACCAGCAACTTTGTTCAACCAATATTTGGCAGAAATTATTGACACAAAGACAAAATTACCCATATATCTCTGAAAGTAGTGAAACTTCTTCCTCATTTGGTGCATCAAGAATCTGAGTCACACAAAAGAGGTAACCTGCGGTTATGTTCCATAAATCAGCAAATATAAAGCTCAGCCTCTGTATATAGAATATCACTGAAAATAGACAATTTGTATAGAATTGTATCACAAATCACCACACAATAACTTCTAAATTTCACAATAAAAAGCTAGTAGTTTGAAGATTAAGATATATCAGGAATCTCTTCTTCAATAGCATTCAATTAAAACTAAGTAATAACATTTTTATTTTCATTTGGGAAGTACAAGGTGTTGGTGTTTGAAAAGTCAAAAAAAGGTGGCAAGTGGTTGGTTGGCAAGTGGTTGGATGGCAAGTGGTTGGAGACAAGAAAAATTGGAAAGCCTTAAATGCACAAGAATCATTCCTTTTGCTATAAAATGCTCTTTCACTTCACTCATTTCCATCATCCAATTCCAAAGGAACCATTACAAGAGTTAGCCAGCAAGAAGCAGAAAGAAATAATCTAGCTTCTGGGTGTAATTGGGTTGAGGGTGTTAGGAACAAGACAATAATAAAAGAAAGAATGAAGGAGAGAAAAATAAACGACACAAGAATTTTAACGTGGTTCGGCTAAAATATGTATGCCTACGTCCACGACTACACTAGGAAGTAATTTTTATTTCTGTGTATATCTCAAATTTTACATAGGGTTGCTTATATAACAAAATAGAGAACCTCATCTCACAATCCTAATCGATGTGGGACTAAATCAAGCACCATAATACTAACAATTCTCCCACTTGGAGTTTGATTTACGTTACCACCTAGTGTAGTGCCTTCATCATCAATTTGCTCGAAGGCCGGTTGAGGCAATGCAAAGCCTCAACTTAGTTGTTGTAACGATCTTGGTCAACATATCGGCGGGATTCTCCGCACCTGGAATCTTCAACAAACTCAAGTCTCCATCATTTATCGGGTTTCGATAAAATGATACTTCAATTCAATGTGCTTACATCTGGAATGAAGGATTGGATTTTTAGCAAGACAAATAGCACTTTGATCTGTCACTAAACAACGGAGAACCATCTTGTTCTCTTCCTAATTCTTTTAGAAGGTTCTTCAACCATATCATCTCCTTCGCTGCTTCTGAGATAGCTACATACTCTGCTTCAGTGGTTGAGAGAGAGACCCTTCCTTGAAGTTTAGACTTCCAACTGATAGCTGTACCACCCAATGTAAAAATATAACCTGTTGTGCTCTTTCTACCGTCAAGATCACCTCCCAAGTCTGCATCAGAAAACCCCTGTAAAATGAGATTACTTCTCTTGAAAGACAAATGCATCTTTGAAGTGCCTTTCAAATATCTGAATATCCACTTCACTCCTTCCCAATGCTCCTTTCCGGGATTTGATAGAAATCTGCTCACAACTCCCACTGCATGTGCTATGTCTGGTCTGGTGCAAACCATAGCATACATCAAGCTTCCTACTGCAGATGCATATGGCACTTTAGACATGTGACTTTCTTCTTCTTCGTTTGAGAAGATTGCCTCTTTGAAAACTTTAAGTGAGTTCCCAACATTGAATCTGCTAAGCAATTTTTCTATATATTTTTCTTGAGATAAGTTCAAAATACCTTTATCTCTATCTCGGGAGATTCTCATACCAAGAATTTGCTTGGCTGGACCAAGATCCTTCATTTCAAAGCTCTCTGACAATTGTTTCTTCAACTTGTCAATTTCTGCCATATTAGCTCCAACAATCAACATGTCGTCAACATATAAGGCAAGAATGATATAGCTATCAACATATTTCTTCACATAACAACAGTGATCTTCTTCACATCTGCGAAATCCTGAGTTTCTCATAAACTCATTAAACTTCTTGTACCATTGTCTCGGCGCTTGTTTTAATCCGTACAAACTTTTATGAAGCTTGCATACAAGATTTTCTCCGCCTTGTACTTCAAAACCTTTTGGCTGTGTCATAAAAATTTCCTCTTCAAGATCCCCATGTAAGAATGCAGTTTTGACATCTAACCGCTCCAAATGAAGATTTTCTAGCAGCTACTATACTCAAGATAACTCGATGGTAGTCATCTTGACAACAGGAGAGAAAATTTCCGTGAAGTCAATTCCTTGTCTTTGTTGGAACCCTTTCACTACGAGTCTAGCCTTATATCTTTTGCTGCCATCCGGTTCTTCTTTCAACCTATAGACCCACCTGTTTTGCAAAACTTTCTTTCCTTCGGTAGCTTGGTTAAAGACCATGTTTTATTCTTCCGAAGGGACTTTATCTCATCTTCCATTGCTAGCTCCCACATAATAGATTCATCTCCCTGCATAGCCTCGACAAAATGCTCCGGCTCACCGACATCGATCAACAACAAATAATGCAATGAAGGGGAATACCTTTGTGGTGCTACAATTGTTCCGCTAGATCTTCTAACCAAGATTTCGGGAGTTGCGACTCTACTATTTGTTCGGGTTACGTCTCGAGGCTCGACATAGGCTCTACTTGTATATTCCGCCTTCGGTTGACTACATCACTTTCTCGAAATTTCTTCTAATGATACTTGCTCTAGTTGTTTATTTACATTTGCGGATTCTGCAATCCTGTCTCTATAGAACATGTTTTCATTAAAAGTAACATTTCTACTTCGATAATTTTCTTGTTTTGGTCATCCCAAAACCTGTAGCCAAACATGTCGGATCCATAACCAATGAAATAACAACGTTTTGCCTTAGGGTCCAATTTATCTCTACTATTAGAGTCTAACATAACATATGAAGCACAACCAAAAACTTTCGGATGTGAAAGATTTACCTCTTTTCCAGACCATACTTCTTCGGGTAACTTATAGTCTAAAGGAACTGATGGTCCTCTGTTTATGAGATAGGCTGCTGTGTTTATTGCATCCGCCCAAAATACCTTGGGTAATCCTGACTGGATTCTCATACATCTTGCTCTCTCATTCAAGGTTCTGTTCATTCTTTACGCCACACCGTTTTGTTCCGGTGTTCCTGGAACTGTCTTGATCATTCGATCCCATTCTCTCGAACAAAACTCCTTGAATTTACTACTTGTCATATTCTCCACCATTATTAGACTTCAAACATTTGACCTTTAAACCTGTTTGAGTCTCAACCTCCTTTTTCCACCTTTTAAACACGGAAAACACATCGATTTATTTTTAAGAAAATAAACTCATACCTTTCTTGTAGAGTCATCAATGAAGGTTACATAATATTGTGAACCTCCAAGGGATTTCACCGAAGCTGGCCCCCAAACATCCGTATGCACTAGTTCTAGTCTTTCAACTTTAGACGACTTACTTGTTTTTGAGAAGCTAACCTTTTTACGCTTTCCAAAGATACAATGTTCGCAAGGTCCAACGTCAACATGCTTCACGTTAGGTATTTTACCTTTTGATATCATGAGCTTCATTCCTTTCTCACTCATATGCCCAAGCCTCGATGCCATAAGGAGGAATTGTTGCCAACTTCTGCAACCGATATCATATCCTCATCTCGCAATCATGTAGAGAGATCCTTGCTTCTTTCCACGAGCAACAACAAGATTACCTTTCATTACCTTCCAATGTCCATCTCCAAAAGTGGTGTAATGTCCCTCATCATCCAACTGCCCTATAGATATTAAGTTTCTCTTTAAGGTTGGAATATGTCTGACATTATTCAAAGTCCACACGTTTCCATTAGAGGTTCCGATGTTAATATCACCTCTTCCTATGATATCAAGAGATTTTCCATCTGCAAGGTAGACCTTCCCAAACTTTCCGAAACATAGTTAGATAATAGTTCTAAGGAAGGTGTAGTATGAAATGACGCACTCGAGTCCATAATCCATGAGTCAATAGAATTATCTAAACTACATAACGAGTGCATCTTCAACTTCATCGATTCTCTGCATTTGCTGATTGATCATCATCTTGCTTCTTGTTGTTGTTGTTGTCCTTCTTTGGAGCCCTACACTCGATTTGAAAAGTGGCCCTTTTTCGACAATTCCAACAAGTGATATCATTCGGACTTTTGCTTGTGATCTCCTCTCGGATTTTGATCTCGCCTCGGCCTTGATTACGACCTTTACAGCGACTTCTTCCTCTAGTTTCAGTACTCAATGCTTGAACTCGAATTAGAACTGAAAGATTCTACTGAATTTTTCTGCGAACATCTTCGCTTAAGATCAAGTCACGGATGTTATCAAGCTTCAACTTGTTATTGCTTGCGAATTACTTACTGCGATAGCAGTTGCACCCCAACTTTCCGGTAGAGATGATAATAAAATTAATGCTTTCACCTCATCATCAAATATTATCTCGCACTGATGTCAACTGCGCAATAATTGCATTAAATTCACTAATATGATTAGTAACCGAGTTACCTTCACCCATTTTGAGGTTGACTAGCCTGCGAATCAAATGCACTTTATTGGCTGCAGAGGGCTTCTCATACATATTTGACAACGCCTGCATCAAATCTACGGTTGTCTTTTCGTTCATGATGTTGAACGCAACATTCTTGGCTAATGTCGTCGGATCACACCAAGCGTCTGCCGATCTAACAACTCCCATTCCGACTGCTCCATGTCGGTTGGCTTCGCCTGTCAAGGGTAGATACAACTTCTTCGATACGAGATAATCTTCCATCTGCATCTTCCAGAACCCGAAGTCACTGCCATCGAACTTCTCGATCCTCACCTTTCCTTCTTCCAATGCCATTGCTCTCACTGCTTTCGAAGAAAGCTCCCACTGCTTCTCTAACCGAGATTCCCAAGAAAAAAGACCAAATCTTTTCGATGTGGAAGATCGAGACAAAGCTGCAACCACAGAGCATACTAAGAAAATTGGCTCTTGATACCAATTGTTAGGAACAAGACAATAATAAAAGAAAGAATGAAGGAGAGAAAAATAAACGACACAAGAATTTTAACGTGGTTCGGCTAAAATATGTATGCCTACGTCCACGACTACACTAGGAAGTAATTTTTATTTCTGTGTATATCTCAAACTTTACATAGGGTTGCTTATATAAC